AATTCTTTAATTTGCCTTCTTAAGCTTCGGTGAAAAGTGTCAGATTAAACATAAGGTAGGAAGAAAGTGAAAGAAAAGGAAATAGGGCTGTTCATGAGTACACAGACACGGTTTACATGGTGCCCACACGCCTCTGCACACATAAGCTGTAAGGCCGCAGAAGGAATCCTGCTGGCGTAGCAGGCCAAGTAGTTTGAATCCAGCGGCTGTTCTGTCCTGTAACCTCCTCCTGGTAAGTACAGCCTCAGACACCTAATGGAGGATAACCAGCGGTCAGCATGGACTCCTCATTGGGTTTGGGGTTTTTCTTGAAGGATACAGAAAATCAGAAAGCTTACGAAACTTAACTTTCTAAAACAGCAACTTGTTTGCCAACATTGTCTCATGGGAACCCTAGGACATCAGGGCAGAACTGTGTTCCTGAAGGTTCTCAGTGTCTGACACTGAAAAAATCAGATTGCCAGGCTGTTCTGAGGTGCCTCTGGGTGATCCTGAACCACTAACCTTTCAACTGGCAACCAAGTGTGTTAATTATCTGAGCCACCCCAAACTATTAACTATTAACTTCCCTTTTTTAAAACCATTTCCTTTTTATAAAACTATTAACTTCCTGTTTTCTTTTGTATATTGTTATATAGCAATAGAATAATAAAAATGGTTTGTGTTTTTGAAAACAGAATCACTGTCAAAAATGGAGAGAGTTAAGTGAAGACTGAGTCAAAGGCAGCATGAAATGCCCCTATTTTACACAGCACTGAAATACATAGATTAGAACCTCCCTAAGGGAAAAAAAATGAAAAGGCCTTCCACCATAACATCATAAAAATTGAAGGTTTTCACGAGCCATTTCACCTAGGCCTTTTGTCCGTCAACATTAACAATCGAAGCTCTCCTTTACTGAATGCTGCTTTTTCCACCAAGCGTGTTCTACATACATTATCCTGATCAATCTTCCCCTTATGTTGTAGGTGTCATTTACTGGATCCACTTACAGAGAAGAAATTAAAAGCTCAGGAAGGTTCAATACCTGCCTCACGTTAGTCCACAGAGAACTAAGACTTGATTCCACGTCCATCAGAATAGGCAGACTCTCCACCCTCACTGGACGGTACAGCACTCCTACTCAACAACTCTTTCCTGACTGCCCATCATGCATAACTGTGAGGGTACCTGACCATGCAGCCCCAAATCAAGTTGCTCTTTCTCCCAGACCCATTACAGTGGACTTTCCCCTTCCTCAAATCATAAATCTTTCCAGAACACGCAACAATTCCATCATGACTGACATTGGAAAAGAGAAGCACCCACATGGTCTAAGAATCTCTAGAGAGTGCTATACCACGTCACACTTCCCTACAACTCCGAGCCCTCTCTGACGAGGAGGAGGAAATGGAGAGAAATATGCTTTTCTTCCTGATAAGCACCGTACAATCTTTCTGAGTGCGCGTCATGGACTGAAGTGTGTAGCCTAAGCACGTGTGAGACTTGAAGCCAGGGGGTTGGCAGTGCGACTCCCCACAGACTAGGCCCCCAGGGTTGCCAACCACAGACATGCAAGTGTCGTCTTACCTTAATTTCCCTCTGTGATGGCAACTAAGTTATGACATTATATGCTAACTAGAATAATAACTAATTAGGAAAAAGCCCAATTTGCTCAAGGTAATTAAGAACTGGGAAGACAGACTCAAGACGGAAGTCTTGCTAAGCGTGCAGGAAACAAGGCGAACTTTCTTTCCTTTTCTGGAAACTATCTAGAGAGGAGGGAACTTAACCTCCTTTCATGTCAGCTTTGGCTTAAACTCAAACCAATCAGACTGCATTTACTTTACTGGAAAGTAAAGCTGTCGCCGCCCCCCCCGCCCCCCCCAAGATGCTGACCCATTATGTTACCTACTGTCCAGTCGACAGCTTTCTTCCCCTCACTGCTTCAGAATCAATACGATGTGCTTGAATCTGTCTTGGGTTTCATGCTTACTTTTGCCAAAGTGAAAGAGGTTAAAGGTGGAGTAGGGTTGGGAGGCCCCAGCACAGATGTTTCTTGCTGGGAGTCTCTTCACCAGCGGCATCTTCCTGTCCCTGAATGGACCACTCGATGCCTAAGGAGCCAACCCATTTCGGAACAGCCAAGACTTCCACATGGTAAAAGAAACTGTACCCTTCATGGGAAAACAGATGCTTATTCCTTCCTTATTTCCATACTTCCTTAAGCCTTCTTTACAGAACTTTCGTAATTACGGCGAAGCTGTAAGAACTGTGCTCTCTTAGCCAGCAGAAGTCACACTGCACTATCCTTTTCTCAGTGCTTACATGGTAATACAGAAAAACGAGATGCCTGGAGCCACTGCCACCAAGCTGATTCAGAGTCGAGGCGTGTTTACAGGAGGAGCCTGCCGTCTTTCTCCTGCAGTGTCTGGTGGGTCCCAACCACTGGACTCAGTCAGGAGCGCAGCACAGGACACGCTACGATTCCAGGGCTCCTCACAGTGATATATAAAGCACTGTAAAAAGCAGCTCAGGGCTGGCTGTGATGACTGCAATGTGGGACCTCAGCCAGTAAGACAGCCTTACGAGTGAAAACCAAGGATTCTTGAGAGCAAAGGATTCTGCTCCAAACCTGTAACCCAGGGATCCTGCAGGGTGGCCCAGCCTGCTGCCTGGCCTCATGTCAGACACAAGACTGCCCGCCTTCCCAGCCTGCTGTTACCTGTGGGTTTTGGACTTGTCAGCCAAATTTACAACAGCCAGTTCCTTATAAAGAAAGAAATCTCTCTGTGTATGTACGTTGTTGCTGGTAGGTGCCATGGAGTCGAGTACGACTCACAGCGACCTTATGAATAGTTGACCTGAGCCCTGCTCCATCCGGTGCCATCTTCCTCATCTCTGACACACCAGAGCCCACTGCTGAAGTCAGCATGTCCATCATCTCATCGGGGTCTTCCTCACCAATGCTGACCCTCCATCTTCCCAAGCAGGATGCAATTGTATGAGTGTACACATACACACATGCATAACATACAACACATCCTATTTGTATTGTTTCTCTGAAGAGTCCGGACTAGCTCAGTTTAATGAATCACAAGGGTCCACATCAAAGGGAAGCAGGAGATCAGAGTCTAAGAGAGAAAGTATAAAGACAAAAGCAAGAGCTCAGAGTTGAGAGAAGATGCTATGCTGCTGGTTTTGAAGATGGAGGAAGAGGCCTTGAGTCCCAATGTGCAGGGAGTTTCCAGAAGATGGATAAGAGATGGGGATGATCCTCCTAGAGTCTTAAGAAGGAACGCAGTCCTCTGGGCACACGGCAGACATCTGAGCTCTCGAGAAATGACAAGCATATACAGGTCAACTGGATGACAGTTCATAACTGGGTTGTTAAAAATCCATCCTTTTGCTGGTTAAAGGAGACGTTTCTAAATGAATAAAGACACTGTTGGTGTTAGGCGCTGTCGACTTGGGTACAGCCCACAGTGACCCTGTGAACCTGTGCCATCCTCATCATCGCTGACATCCTTGAGTCCACTGCTGCAATCACTCGGTCAGTCCATCTCAATGGGGGTCTTCTCTTATGCTGACCCCCCGACCTTTCCAAGTATCATGTCCTTCTCCAAGGAACAACTTCTCCGAGCAACATGCCCCAAGCACGTAAGATGAAGCGTTTACAGAGCTGTAAACCACTCAGGCGGCCCCCCCGCCGTCAGCCACCCCCCCGTCAGCTGCTGGGCATCCTGTGCAGACCCCTCCCTCCAGGCCTTTCCCATCCCCAACTCGGCACATAAACAACCACCATGAAGGGGAAACTGCCTAAGTAGTACATCACACTATGCACTAAATTTAATACGAATGGAATGGACAAAGGTCAGTGTAAGCATATTTTCCAGAGGCATTTTAAAGACAGTTTTCAACATTACCCTCCACACAAGAGCCACAAACCCCTGGGATGACAATGGGGTTGTGTCAAACTTTGTGCTAACAAAGAACAATAGCTGCACACGGAACTGGCTCTCTTACCAGGGGCAACACCAAAGACAAAAGGCAAAATCATTCATCATAATAATTACAGTTGCCTACTAATCGGGATCAATGATGCTTTGGTCAGCCATGGTAAGTCAGAAGACAATGCTGACACTGCTGCTTCTGATGATGACTTGGAGAAAATGACTAATATTTTATTCTCCAGAAACAGCAGATAAGAAGTGAAACGAAATTACTCAAGTGCCAATAACTGGGAAACAGAGGTCTAGACCCTTTAAAATTTTTTATGTTTAAGTTTAGAAAATGATTTCTAAAATCAAGGATGCGGTCAGTCCCTTGGATAAAAATTACCAACTTGTGCAAAAACAAGTAAGAGATGATCTCTAATCTTATGAGATGAGGCGAGAGAACACGACCAGGGTTAAGCCTGGTGACACACTCTCACACTCCCTCTCACACTCATTTCTGGCACTATTTTCACAATTATCTTTGCTTGATTTGATTCCTCCCTTTCGCTCCTACTTTTCGTGAATACTATATTTCTGTGTTTTTTTTTAATCTTTCTGTGTTTTGAAAATGCTCATAAAGTACTTCAAAATATTCCTAGAAGGAGGAATAAACATACTGACAGATTTGTGGCTTGAAGGGATTACAAGGAAATATGAGCGCCTGTAACTCTTCCGGTTACAGAGACATTTCACAAACGTGTTTTGGAGGGAGGTCTTGAGCTTAGGGCAAGTTCAGTCAGAGAGCAGTTCTTGCTCACCTCTGTCTGCAACAGCTTCTGAAGCTGAGATGGTATCAAGTAGAGATGCTTATTTACAAACATACACATACTGTGCTTCTTAACCACTAAGAGAATTCTAATGATGAGGAACTCGGGGTGAGGATGACATAGTTTAGTACAGTCAATCATGCAAATCTCTGCGTTCTGCGATCATTTTCAAAGACATTGCAAAAACAGTGCTACTGCCTAGAAGAGATCTTGTAAAGCCATATTTCCATCACAGGTTATCTCCACAGGCACTCACCATGTGTGTCTGGAAGAATGCGGGAATCAAGACCTGGTTCGACAGGCTGAGCACCCGGGACGAGTCCTTCAGGACGTAGATGGAGCCAAAATCTATCTCCACGGGAGTTACATAGATAACCGGGCCCTCTCCAACGCTCTTCACATGACAGGCCTGAGTCCACGAGCAAGTGAAAAAGAGAGCACAGGTAGGAATGAAAACGGTGGGCGTTCACAATCAATGAAAACAAAGCCCTGTCGTCAGTCCTTAGTGGAAGCATGTTGTTGTTGTTGTGTACCATCAAGCTGGAACTGACCCATAGCTGACCCTCCAGCGGGTTTTTAGCAGCAGTAAATCAAATGAAAGGAGACTGCCCATCTTTCTCCTGCAGAGTAGCTGGTGGATTTGAATTACATTCCTTTGGGTTGGTAGCACAGCTCCTTATTACTAAGCCACCAATGCTTGCTAGTAGAAGCATAAAAGGTAGTAACTGGATAGAGAGGGATCTAGGAATAGTCAGGTTGGCCATACCTGTGGTCCACCAAACAGGAATTCCTTCCCATGTCCTGGCCCTTTTCCAAGGGTAGCTGCATAAACCCTAGTCTCCTGGCTCCACTACGGTGCCACAGCCTGGGAGTAGGGCTGCACTGCACAGGTGGAGGTAACTGGGTTGCAGTCCCAGTTGCGGCGTTTTACTAGGACGGGATGGGTCAGGGCACTGCACACACTGGTGCCCCCTCCTTGCTCAGCCTCCCTCATCCCATTCCCTCAGCAGATCTATGGAAGAGACCGTCTCCATGCAGAGGGGAGCGTGGGGGTGTGCTAGCAGGGCTTGGCACTGGAGGCATGTGGCAGTGCTGGCCTGCCTTTGTGATGCTGCTTCATAAATCAGGTGGCTTAGCTCGGACACCTCACGTGGAATGGAGAACTATCTAAACGACCAGAGGCAAATGTAAGCAAACATCACCTGGCTTCCAGGTAAAGCAAAGGATTAGAGGCTTCACCAAATCCTTCAGGATTTCAAATCTTTTTATAATCTGGCCCAAACTGCAGAGAACCTTTGGTACTAACAACTCTTTCCTTGCCTGGAGAGAAAGGATTTCTCTCAATAACTGCTAGATTAATATAGGCTGTCAACAGACGGAAAAGAGAGCAGATGAGCAGTCACGTGAACCAGAATGGACTATAAACTAATATGCTAGAAACTAAACCCAGTTCTGGACTAGAAAGACCCAAGAGGTCATTAAATACAACCCAAACCAGGAGAAGCTACCCCTTTCCCTTTAGAGCAGAAACAACTCACACTTAACTAGATTTAAAAGCCAAGTGCTAGAAAACACCCCTCTTTTAACATGTGTCAGCAGATTCATTTTCTAGATAACAGAGCAGTAGTATTTTACTGTTCCAGAATTAAAAAGGTAAAATTAGAACCAAAAATTGGTGGCCCTGTGGGTATAGCACATGCCTTTAAACAAGGAAGTTGGCTACGTTTCACAAGCAATATAGCAATTTCAATTGTAATTCTGGGGAGCTGGCTCTCACCAGGGGAGGGTCCTGGCTCCCGAAGGTGGAGATGTAGACTATGGACGTGCATTCTCCTGTGAGCTGGGCCTCCAGGGCCAGGGGTATGTCCACGGTGGCGTGGGGGCTGATGACTCCACAGCAGGTGGTGGTTGAGAGATGCACCGCAGGTGTGTCCTCATGTGTCTGGAGGAAAAGTCAAAGGCTTGATCGATCCCAGGGCCCAGAGTGAAACAAAGATAATATTAAAGTCTCATAAGCATGAGCTGTCCCGAGTCTATAGTGGGTCTTTAGAAAGGGTCACTGACCTAGAAATAAGATGGAGATGAGCGCCCCAATTCAGCCAGAAGAAAGTCTGCTCAGAGGGGGATTGCAGGAGGTCCCTAGTCCAAAGTTTTCAACATTACAAGATGTAAACATGACCCAAAACATTAAGCACATCAAGACAACGTTCTGCTGCTGAATTCCTTAAGCCAGGCCCCCAAGCCTTCAAGATTTATTTCCACTCTTTTCATCCCACCTCATTCCTTTCACTCCATCAACAGATGCCCTGTACACATTATACGGCTTCCCACATCCAATCCCAAAAGGAAACCCAACACCCACCACTTAGCTAACTCTCCCAATTCTTCATTCTTGCTGTCCCGAGGTAATCCCTTATCTGCATTCTCTCTATTTGGAACTTTCCATTAAACTGGAATCATGTACTATGTGGTCTTCTGTGATTGTTTTATTATTTTACTGATTAGCATGTTTTCAAGGTTGGGCTAGGTTGTAGCATGTATCAGTCTTCAAGCCTTTTTATGGCCATACAGCCTATAGCTAGACTATATTTGGTTTATCCATTTATCAGCTGACTATCAGCTGAATTGTTTTCATTCTTTGACTGCTGTGGACAGTTCCAGGAACACTCAAGTACATGTAACAATGTTGTTCTTGATGTCTACTGTTGAGCTGGAACTCCAAGCATGATATCCTTCTCCAAGGACTAGCTTGTCCTGATAACATGGCCAAAATATGTGAAACAGAGTTTCTCCATACTTGACTCCAAGGAGCCTTCTCCAGGATAGACTTATTTGTTGTTCTCTTGGCAGTCTGCAGGATATGCAAGTTTTTTCCTCCAGCACCACAACCCTACAGAAATGGGGCCAAGTGTGTCGGAGATGATGAGGTTGGCTCAGGATAGGGCAAGGGTCAGACCCATTGTTCACAGGGTCGATATGAGTCACAGTAGACTCAATGGCACATAACAACAAATCACATAGGAGTTTGCCCATCTTTCTCCCACGGAGAAGCTGGAGGGTTCAGGTTGTGTCCTTTGTGTCACTAACACAGCACACCTTTTGATTTCTTGAATGCTGCTACCAAAGGGGCTGATTATGAATCTAAGAAAGATTAAACTGTTGACAACTTCTGTCTTTTATCCATCTGTCATGATGTTGCCTATCGGTCCAGTGTTGAGGATTTTTGTTTCCTTGATATTGAAAATGTAATCCACACTGAAGGCTGAAGTCTTTGATTTTCTGCAGTAAATGCTTTAAGCCCTCCTCACTTTCTAAAAGCAAAGGTCTAGAGGAGTTTTAGTAGAGCACAGGGTTTGCAGAACAGAGTTTGAGGCCAAAGTGCATTCTTGATAAATGGCATCTCATCTCAGATTGCTTTAATCGGTAGAGGTATCTTGGAGTTTTTTTAATCTGTTTCCTTAACTTTTCATCTCCCTATATAGCGAGGTATCAGGGAAGTTGCTGTTGCTATGGAATACCACTGGGTCAGTTCTGACATGCAGTGACCCGCCAAGGCTCAAGGAACACAGCACTACTGAGTCCGGCACCACCTTCCCTGTCACTGCTCTGCTTCCATCCACTGTTGCAGGCACTGTGTTGATCCAGTTCAACCAAAGTCTTTATCTTTTTTTGCTGATTCTGAACTTTAACGAGCATGAAGGTACCTGGCTCTCCTGACAACAAGTGCAAAGTGCACAGTCTTGACATTCCTCCTCAAAGGGGCATTCGGATTGTACTTCTTCCAAGACAGATTGGTTTCTTCTTCCAGCAGCCCACGGGACAGTCCATCTTCTTCACCATCACCATGATGCACAGACTTCAATTCCTCTTCAGTCTCCTTACTCACTGCCCAGCATAAACATACAAGGTGAATGAAAATACCAGGGGCCAAGTGCACCTTTCTCTTCTAAGTGATGCCTTCACTTTTAAACATTTTTAAAAGCGATATATGATAGGGTATTATGATTATCACAGGAATCTAGAATTAAGGTTGCATAGTGGAGTGCTTGGGGGTGGGCAGAGGACGGGGGGATTGTATACAAATGAAGAAAGTTTATATTTTGCTTTTCAAAGAGAAGAGCGAACTGGGGTGGGGGTAGAGAAAAAAAGTGCAACAATGAATGAATGGAAATCCAAAATCTCTGTAAATGTTCATTAAAATTAATAAAATTAAGGAAAAAAAAACAAACTTTTTTTGGGCAAAGATTTTTCCCAGTGCAAAACGTTGTGGCACGTGGACAGAGAAGCTTCATAAAACACTGAGATGAAAATTTCTCTTTCCTCATTGTTCTGGCCTTCTGGTCCCACAAGCCCGGGGATAAATATTGCATCACTGTATCTTTCTTTGTGATGCTGTTGGAGCTGCAGCCACTGGGCACAAATGAAAACTCCCAGCTCTGCTCTGCTCTCCACGCATGGTTAACTTCCAAGCAATTATTTACAGGTCCAACTTCTAGATGTTGACTCAATCGACCCTTTTGCTCCTTTATCAAGGACAATTTCCCCAGGAAATTGACAACTGTTTGCACCTGCCGCTCCTCCAGCATGCAGATGCTAATCCAGCTGTGATTTTATAATATCTCATGACTATCTGCCTTAAGTAAGGCCATGTGTTTTTTAGAAGAACTCAGGTGGTTCTTCAGGAAGATGGTCCTTTAGGAGAATTGCTTTTTTCTCACTGACCTACTCTGACTAGAGAAAAAGGACCACGGACAAAAGATGCAGTAACTCACCTGAGGCAGAACCTTGTAGCATCCTGGGAAGTCACTGTTGTTAACAAGCTGGATTACTTTGTTGTATGGATACTTCAGGAAGCAGTGTCCAAAATCCACGACTGCATTAACCAGGCTGAGTGGGGGCACCACACACCTGCTCAAAGGAATCCATTTAACAATTCAGAAGGACGGAACTTGTTTACATGCAGAGCATGTAACACACATTTGTCATTGTCACACAGTAGTTTTTCTCTAATAACCACATTAATCATTTTCAAATTGTCTCCCCATCATCCCTCTCACTTTGCCTCCAGTCACTACTTTTTAATAAATTTAAAAAAATAATAAGGACTAGAAGCAGGGCTCTATCTATAAACATCTGACTTGTGTGGGTAGTGACTGATATTCCACTGTGTTTTAATCTGGCCTTCCTTTAATGCAATTTTATGCCCCCCCCATAATGCAATTCCTTAGGGCAGTGGATCTGTTCCCATGTCAAGCAGGGCCAGTGCCAACAGCAGGGGTCCTAAGTGGCAGTGACATTTTTGACCAGTCAGAAAGACCCCCAAGGATTAGCAACAGCCCATGCCATGTCAATAACGGTAATAGTTCTAATTCCTGTGCAGAACAGCTGTCTTGGCTAAGCAGACACAGGCAGCTGCTCCTTCCCAGAGCTGGCCCAGTGGCAGAAGCTCTCAATATTGGGGGCGTCGTGGGAGGGCAAGGAAGAGGAGGCATGTGCAGGGAAGGGAGGACTGAAGGCTGTGTTTATAACTGGTTCATTATTGGGGACTCAAGTTTTATTTTGTGGCTGTGACTTTCCGTGTCTACCCTGCCCTCTCACATTGCCATAATAAAGCACAATGGTGAAGAGATTAGCCTTTTGCTTTTGGGTTTTTTATTTTAATGTGCTCTTTCTGTCATCCTTGTAGTTTGAGTAAAAGTCACAAAAAATAAATCGTCCATTCAACCATTCCTACCTATTCTATAACATTTCTTCCTATCTTCACAATGAACTCACACTCTTTCCACTTACTCACTGAAATTCTGATTCTCATTAACCCTTCCTTACCCTTCTGTCTTCTCTTTCTTTAGTGGTAGTGTACTGTCAACTGCTATGATTTTTTAAAAATATTTTTAGTCCACACAGAATGAAAAATTAAAATAAAAAAATTAATAAAAAAAGGGAGAAAGTTTTTCATAGAAAGTTTATAAATAACATTGGTTTTTATTCAATCATTCAAACATTTTGAGGGACCCAGTGCCCTGCTAGCCCCAGAGCCCCACTGGCCAAGACCACTGGGTGAGAGCCAGACAGCCAGAATTTGAGTGAGGTCCCCATGTGAGCCCACCTGGACATCTGGAATCTGAGTGAGATCCCTGAGCATACCCGCCCCGCACCTGCACCCACCCTGTGCTCATACCCACACTGCACCTGTTACACCCTGTGCCTGTTCTGCCCCACACCCCTGCCTCCACATCAAGTCAACTAACTTGCCTTTAATCTGTTGTCCGACCTAGCTGCAACAAGAGGCTGCTCTCACAGGCCCTGAATGGAACCTTTCCTTGGGTCAAAAGTTCAGAGAGAAACACAGGCAGGGTAGCAGCCCTACCCTCTTCTAGAACAGTGACTTCAGATCAAGAACCTATCATTGCCTCAGGCATGAAAAACTCTATCACAGCAATGTCACGTAAGAAGCAGGCTACTTCACACCCAACATAAGCACAAAGCAAGACATCATACCCAAAAAGTGATGCAGTATCAATGGATTTCCTGAAGCCAAAAATTCTGATGAAACTTTCTGACACCGAATATAAAAGAAAAATTACTGAATATTTTCAATGGGTGACACTGAAAACAAAAACCAGGAGAAGCTTAAAAAAAATCCAAAACAATGCAGATAAAACAAATGAGGCATTAGAGGCTCTGAAAAAAATGAGAAACCACTATTCATATTGAGGTCCAATGTTTCAGATGCTGTCAACATGATGGAGGGACACAGGAACAGAGATGAAGAGATGGGACACAGAATCAGTGAAATAGAAGATAAAATTGTCACCACTTATCTGCTAGAGCAAAAAAGCAGAATAAATAAAAAAGGAAAAAGAAGAAAACCTAAGAATAATGTGGGACAACATCAAGACAAAGAATATGCACATCATCAGAATCCCAGAACAGGAAGAAGCAAGTAAAGGCATCAAAAAGTTGTGGAAGATTTACCAGAAGAAAATTTCCCAGGCATAATGAAGAATGAGAAAATATATATTCAAGAAGCTGAGTGGACACCACATAGAATATACTCCAAAAGGAAAACACTGAGGTATATTATAGTCAAATTTGCCAGAAACAAAGTTAAGGAAAGAATTTGGAAAGCAGTGAGGGAGAAACAAAGAGTAACCTATAAGGGAGAGCAGAGATTAAGTGACAATTTCTCAGCAGAAATCATGGGAGCAAGAAGACAGTGGAATGACATATTTCAAACACTCAAAGAACACTAGAGTCAACCAAGAATACTGTACCCAGCAAAACTATCCATCAAATATGTAGGAGAGATCAGTATTTCCCAGAAAAACAGAACCTAAGGGAGTCAGTAAAAACACCACCAGTGTTGCAGGAAACACCAAGAGATGCCTTTCTTACAGAGTGCCACAGAAAGCAGGATGGACCAAAGTAACTAGCAATAACACCAAACAGAACTCTACAAAATGATAGAAACAAAACCTTGCCTCTCAATAATCACACTGAATGTGAATGGTTTAAATGCACCACTGAAGAGAAAAAGAGTAGCAGACTGGATTAAAAAACCAAAATCCATTAATATACTGTGTACAAGAGACATTCCTGAAAAAATGAAGCTAAAGAAAGACTAAAAAATATAAGGGTGGGAAAAAATATATCAAGCAAATGGTAACCAGAAAAAAACAGCAGTAGTGATATTATTCTCTGATAAAATAAATTTCAATGCAAAAACCATCACAAAGGACAAGGAAGATACCTACATAATGCATAAAGGGTCAGTAGAACATAATAATAAATATCTATGCACAAAATGAAAGACCTGCAAAATATATAAAACAAACATTAGCAAAACTGAAAAAGGAAATAGACAACAATACTATAGTAGTTGGAGACTTCAGTACACCACTCTCAAGAAAAGATGGAATTACCAGAAAGAAGCTCAACAAAGATACTGAAGAATTAAACCACAGAATAAACGAAATCAAACTCATAGATATTTATAAGCTAAAGCACAATACACCTTCTTCTCCAATGTTCATTGAACATTCTCCAGAACAGATTACATTTGAGGTCACAAGGCAAGCATCAATAAATTAAAAAACATAGAAATAAGGCAAAGCATCTTCTCAGACCACAATGCTACAAAATTAGAAATTAATAATAAGAGGATATAGGAGGAAAAAAAACATACCTTTTGAAGCTGAACAACACCTTGCTTGAACATGAGTGGGTACCCGAAGAAATAAAAAAGAAATTATAAAGTTTCTTGAAACAAAGAATAATGAAAACAGCACTTAACAAAACCTCTGGAAATAGCCAAAGCAAACCCATCAAAAGGCAGGAAAAAATGACCACTGACTCTCTAACCCAACATCTCCAACAAATTGAAAAAGAAGAGCAAGAAAACCTGACATTCTCTAAAAACCCTGAAATTATAAAAATTAGAGCAGAAATAAATGAAATAGAAACCCAAAAAACAATTGGAATCATAAAAAAACCTAGGAGTTGGTTCTTTGAAAAGGTCAATAAAATCAATAAACCACTAGCAAAATTAACGAAGGAAAAGACATAAGTAATCTGAATAAAAGATGAAATGGGCAACATCACAACAGAATCAACTAAAATAAAAAGGCTAACAATGAAAAAAAGGCTAACAATGGAATACTATGAAAAACTATACTCAAATATAAAAACCTAGAGGAAATGGACAAATACTTAGAAATTCACAACCTACCTAAACTGATACAAACTGAAATTGAACACCTGAACAGATCCATTACAAAAGAAGAAATTTAAAAGGTAATAAAACTACTTCCAGGCAAAAAAAGCCCTAGGTCAGATGGTTTTACAAGTGAATTTTATCAAAGATTCAGAGAAGAACTGTCACCAAATCTGCATAAACTATTTAAGAAAATAGAAAAAGATGGCATTTTCCTAGACTCATTCTATGACACAAACATATCCTTGATACCAAAACCAGGTAAAAACACCACCAAAATAGAAAACTAAAGGCCAATATCTCTCATGAACACAGATGCAAAAATCCAGAATAAAATCCTGGCCAATAGAATCCAACAACACATCAAAAAAATATAATAATTCACCATGACCAAGTGGGTTTCTTAACAGGTATGCAAGGATGGTTCAAGATAAGAAAAACAATCACTGTAATTCATCGTATTAACAAAGCCAAGAACAAGAACCACATGATTCTATCAATTGATGCAGAAAAGGCCTTTGACAAAATCCAAAATCCTTTCCTGATTAAAACACTCAACAACACAGGATTAGAGGGGAATTTCTTCAACATAGTAAAAAGTATTTATGCAAACCAGAGAGCCAACATTGTTCTCAATGCATTCCCTTTGAGAACAGGAACAAGGCAATGATGCCCACTATCACATCTCCTATTCAATATTGTATTGGAAGTCTTAGTGATAGCAGTAAGACAAGAGAAGGAAATAAGAGGTATCCAAATTGGCAAAGAAGAGGAAAAATTTTATCTGCAGATGATATGATAGTATACTTAGAAAACACTAAAGACTCAGCAAGAAAACTACTGGATATAGTTGACCAATTCAGTAAAGTGGCAGAAGACAAGATCAGCATACAAAAATCAATTGGATTTCTCTGTAGTGACAAAGAGACTACAGACCCGGAGCTAAGAAAAACAATACCCTTCACAGTAGCTAATCACAAGATTAAATACTTGGGAGTAAGTCTAACCAGAAGCACAAAGGATCTATTTAAAGAAGATTACAAAATATTACTACAAGAAACAAAAAGAGACCTGGAGAAATGGAAGAATATCCCTTGCTCATGAACATGAAGAGAAAGACTCAATATTGTGAAAATGACAATCATACCAAAGGCAATTTACACGTTCAATGCAATCCCAATACAAATACCAATTCCATTCTACGACGAGATGGAAAAGGCAATCTTCAACTTCATTTGGAATGGAAAGAAGCCGTGAATAAAGAAAACACTTCTTAAAAAGAGAAACAAGGAGGTAGGAGGCTTTCATTCCCTGATTTCAAATCCTACCACACTGCCACGGTGGTCAAGACAGCATGGTACTGGTACAATAATAGGCACATAGGTCAATGGAATAGAACTGAGAATCTAGAAATCATCCCATATACCTATGGTCAACTGATTTTTGACAAAGAGATGAAATCAGTTAAGTGGGGAAACAACAACCTTCTAAACAAATGGTGTTGGCAAATTTGGAAAACTATCTATAGAAAACTCCTTACTCCATACACAAAAACCAACTCAAAGTGGATCATGGACCTAGAACAAAAACCAAGAACAATAAACTTCATTAGAAAAAAGCTTGGAAGAACTCTAAAAGCCCTAATCCACAACATAACAGTCTTCCAAGCATCCTGAAAAACCTACAACCAGGAGAGGATAAAATAGTTGAATGGGACCTTTTAAGAATAAAATCCCTATGCACATCCAAAAACTTCTCTAACAGGGTAAAAAGAGAAGCCACAGACTGAGAAAAAAATATTTGGTCATGACATGTCTGATAATTTGGTCATGACATGTCTTATATTTATAATTTATAAAATACTCAAGCACCACAACAAGATAAAAGTAAACAACCCAATTGAAAAAATGGGCACAGAATATGAACAGACACTTCACCAAAGAAGACATTCAGATGGTGAACAAATACACGAAGAAATGTTCAAAATCCCTAGCTCTAAGAGAGATGCAAATCAAAACAACTATGAGATATTATCTCACCCCAGTAAGAATAGCAATATTTAACAGAACAGCAAACATCAAATGCTGGAGAGGTTGTGGAGAAAATGGAACCCTTATTCACTGTTGGTGGGAGTGTAAAATGGTACAACCACTATGTATGGCCGTATGGTGCTGGAAATAGAAATATCATTTGGCCCAGTAATTCCACTACTAGGAATATACCCCAAAGAAACTAGAACTGCCACCCAAGCAGATATATGCACACCCATGTTTACTGTTACTTTGTTCACAATAGCAAAGAGTTGGAAACAACTCAACTGTGCATCAAGAAACAAATGGATAGAGAAGCTGTGGTATAGTCACACAATGGAATACTATGCTGCATTGAAAAACAAGAAATGCATGAAAAATTATATAAAATGGGTGACCCTGGAGGACATTATGATGAGTGAAATATCTCAGTCACAAAAGGACAAATATTGTATAGTGCCACTGTTGTAAAGCAGGACTGACATTGGGGTTGGGGGGGAAACTAAGAAAAGATGGGATAAATAATGTATACTGCATTGAAACAGATGAGGGAGAGAACTGTTTAGGTGGAATTTATGATTAGGTATTTTTGTCAAGAATGTCCAGAATGAAAGCTGCACAGTGGAGTAGACGGGGGGTGGGGTGGGGGAGCAGATTGTATAACACTAAAAGAATTTTTTTTCTTTTTACTTTTCAAAGAAAAGAGTGAAATGTTTTTTTTTCCTTTTTACTTTTCAAAGAAAAAAGTGATCTGGGGGAAAGGGGTGGGCAGGGCAGTGAGGAAATTGTACAACAATGAATAAATGGAAATCCAAAGTCTCTGTAAACTTTCATTAAAATAAATATTAGGTTTTTTTTAAAAAGTTGCAATTTCTGAAAGCTATTCTTCTACTAGTGCTCTAGGACAGTGATGTAGTCCCTAAGAAGACACCACTTTTGCAGTTCAAATCTACAAACAGCTCTGATGGAGAGATAATTAACCTCCTCCTGGGAGATTTACAGCCTTGGACATCTGCCAGAGGGCCAGTTATGAGTCAGTTACGACCTGATGGCAAAGCACATCTTTAAATAACTATTTTAAAGAGGGTCAGTAAGCAACTTCTACCGATTAGACCAAAAGTAATTACATAAAGAATCTCTTCAACCTCAAAGTTTGCATTTCCCATTTAGCATGAACTGAAGAGCTCATTTTCAGCTAGAATGAAAGTGGTTGGTTGACCTGTAACTTCCCTGGAGCTATCCCTTTACTGCCTCAAACGCTATGTCTGAGAGAGGTGATAGTCCTTGATTTAGATTGTCACAGGGGATATGCTGGGGGGATATTCAGAATCTAAAAGTCTTTTTTTTTAAAAAAAAATTAAATCTATGATTTCTAATTGATACCTGCAGGGTAAATACCTAAAAAAAAAAATAAATATATTAGAATAAACTTGGTGGGGGGAAGACTAGACAAAAGGGGAATCTTGGACAGAGAGAGAACCAATTAAAGTTTTTGGTTTTTGTCGTATTTTTTAAAAGACACACAAAAATGACTTAGTCTATGGCAGTGAAGTTCCCTTGGGGTAAAAGAAACCCTAATTAAAATGATAGGAGTTCTCTATTCATCAACCTTCTTCTTGTCCTCATCAGATGCAGGAGGCACAGGTCTGGGGCTGGACATCCCAGTGTCATCAGTTCACTGTTATTTTCCGTTATCGCCACAGACAGGATTTTCATAAACATCTTACAGGCCAAGTCCAGACACGGTTTGCTTTGTGAAGAGCATGATCCCATGACATGTTTTAGGATCACTGTTGTACCACCACTGAAACCATGATCCTTAGAAACACTCCACTACTTAATCAGTGAATGCAGGGCCAGGATTTTAAACTGACTCTGAGGCCACTAAGAAAAAGAGAGTGAGGTGTTGCCTCACCCTGGGGGTCTATATTTCCAGGGGGAAAAAAAAGATCAACCTGTAATCACCTACCTCTTCCTGCTAAACCCTCCTGTTACATACTTTAAAAACCAGACCCAAAACATGAGAGTCCCTTCCCCTGCCAACAGTAAAAGCTTGCTGTTTTCAAGCTTTGCCTTTTGATTATCACATTCCTCTTCCAGGGCCAGGAATGCAGATCTGTGTGAACTGGCTGGCCTGGCCAGCTGGGGTCCTGGACTGACAGTGGGGCTCCAGGAGGGAGGGAACAAGGGAATCGGATACCTTGCTGTGATTAAGAGCGCCAGCACTTCTTCTCCGATGCCCTCTACATCCACCACCAGGGCCAGCTCATATTTCTTCACAGTGTTGGAACACAAAGTCACCTGGGGAAGGGGGGGGGGAGGAAAAAAACCCCACAATCCAAAAGGTGGAAAGGTTGCTCTTCTGGAAAGGTGCGTGCTCTTAGACACAAGAGAAAGGAGCTGGAGAGAGGACAAGGTCAGTGCACTGTCTCCATGCTTTGTTGGCAGAAAGCATTTTATGCTTTGAGTTGAGTAAGTTATACCTCGGGGTCAGAGCTTGCTGAGTTTCATTCAAGGCCAGGTCAGAACCAAAGAACCAAACAGCTTTTAGCACAGGAGGCTTGCTCACTTGGGGGCACCTATAGCAAGAAACCAGACATCCCTATGAAAGGGGGGGAAAACGACCATGAATGTTACAAATTATCAAATTCCAGTGATTATAATTTATACTGTTTCCTCACATCTGTGGGCTATATGAATTCTAAAATTCAATATGCTGATTAAAAAACAACAACACACCACCCCAAACTATAGCTAAGTAGATCTCAGAGAAAAAAGAAATGGGCATATCCACATGGTTTCTGGAGACTGATCAGAAGGGCCAAGATCAATGAGATGGTTTACTTCATCCCACACCCAAATGTGTACCAGCTGAACAGGAACTGGTAAGCTCCAAAGACAGGCCTATCTAATGTAGTAACTGGCCTGAAATGAGGGTTGTAGTTGCTCTTGTGAATTTTTATATGTAGGCTGTTAAGAAGGCTTATTACAAGTTTTAATTGCCTCAAAATGATTTGTACTGGAGGAGATACTTGTAATTCCAGAATACTGCTTCTGGCACCGGTTAAGGCTTTTCTGTCCATAAATTATGTATCAAACACTAATTAAAAATTCCTCAGGTTGCAGAGGGAATCACTGGATGCAAATTGGAGTCCACACAGACCTGGTTCAAGTGCAAATCTGGAGGGAAATACGGAGCTCGGAGAAAGCTTTTCTGAATATAAAGGAAAAAACAAAATAAAAAAGGGATGTTGGAGCCACTGATTTGGAAACTTGTCAGCAGAGAAGCCACTGCATCAGTGCACAGAGATTCCTCATACACCTGCAAGCCTGTGTTCGAGCCCCAGTTATGATCAGACAGAAGAAGTACAAGAGGTTCGGGCCGAACGTCAGCAGAGAGGGCCTGTGGCAGAAAAAGAGAAACTACCCAAGTGCTCACTACCACAGTTACAACGATCTAGGCTATGGAAGCACACAGGGTGGTGGGAAAGCCCTCGGGAGGGCAAAGGACAACTGGAACGGAGCCAGGATGAGGAGATTCATGGTGAAATGCTCATGTTATGAAACATTCTTCAACAACTGTGGAGATGAAATAGTAGTCAGATTCAAGATAACAAGTAGAGACAAGATTACCAACCTTAGCTGAGAAATTATTTCCTCCCTCTTTCCCAGAGAGTACAAAATCATTTCAATCTAATGCCGTGGTCAGTACATGCCAGACCTAACTGCGTGGAAGCAAAAGTCAGTGAAGGGAGGCAGCTAAACCCTTTCTCGGGTAACTGGGAAATGCTTTTGGTGGCAGCAGCAGCAGAAGCAGACTACAGCCACTGCACCTTCTGTCCTGATTTCAAGGTGCCCCCTCTCTCATGGACAGTAAATGAAAACTGACTTCTAGTTGACCCTCCATTGGGTTTATGAGGCTAAAAATCACACAAGAGGAGAATGCTCATCTTCCTCTCTAGCACCTGCTGGGGGATTCAAACCACCGGAGAACTGCGGCCTTTAGGTTAGCACCACAACTCTCTCAGGACTACGTCAGCAGAGCCTTTCAGGGGAGCCCAGAAAGGCAAACTAACACACCTCCTCGCTGCCATCCCCTCAAACCTGCTAAACCTCTGTTAGCGATATCACATCCATGTTGGCCCTGAAGTCCAGCCATGAGTTAAAAATCTGCATAAACTAGGTTTAAATTGGATAAATTAGATTTGAGGCCTGAATCTGGACAGTGACTGGTACATAGTTTCTGAGAGTGAAGGAGAGGAGAACTAACTTCACAGTGAGTTATTCCACCTTGATATTAATTCCTGTGGGCGTACTGATCACTAGAAAGAAATGGAAACCTTAAGCTGGTCAACGCGGGCATCTAGACTGATGTAAACCCACGCATTCCTTTGCCTGGTATACTATTAGCCTCTTTTGCTGCAATCTTGATTGCACTGTTTAGACTTATTTTTTTTTTGCATGACTTTCCAGCCATCCTCCCAGTAACACTGAACACCCTCTACAGGGTCCAAAAGCTTCCCGTGTGTTTACGTGCCCAGTCACACGTGCTGGGTGGCTCTGACCTTTACCTGGATAACAGCAAATCCCTGAGGGCGGATGGTGCCACAGCTCGGCACGACTGTGAATTCCCTTGGCTTCTCTGCTGTGATATCTTCCAGGGTCCAAGAACATTCTTTGTTGACACAACACTGCTCACAACTTGCAATGCTTTTATGTCCCTGGCCATCCCCACGGATACGCAGTTTGAAGGTCATGGGGACCAAAGAGGTGTTGTTAAGGGAACAGGTCAAGGTCTGAGGAAACCCTGGAAAACAAAGCAGGAGGTGAGAAACACAAGCTTGACAGTATGTTCTTCTTCTGACCTTGGACTTCGCTCTGTTGTTAGCAGTCAGCTAGTCAACTCCAACCCATGGTGACCTCGTCCCTGCAGGAGAGATCAGCTCCGTAAGCAGGTGGCCAGGCTGATCTTCCCAGGCACCTCCGGGCGGTTAGACGAATTCTGGCTTAACCACTACTGCTCAGTCCCTTCTAACTCATATACAGTGACCCGAGGCTGAAAATCTTTTATGGGAGGAGACTGGCCGCCTTCCTCCACCTGTTGTTAGATACCACTGAGTCAGTTATGACCACAGCAATCTGACGAAGGACAGACCTGAATCTTGCCCTCTCCTGCACCATCCTCAGCACCTCTGATGTACACAAGCCCACCACCACAACGACGGTGTCGAGCCGTCTTTCTGGGAGTGTTCATCGCTTTCTGACCTTCTCCAGCGTGAGGTCTTTTTCTAAGGACTGGCCGCCCCTCTTGACAACATGCCCAAAGTATGTGGGACGTCGTCTTACGACTTCCCCCAGCAACCAGCGAATCCTTGAATGAATTCTCTCTGCGGCTCTTCTCCATCTCAATTCCAACCCACACTACTGTTTTCAAGCACGCAGTCAGTAAGTCCTTTTCCTCATTCTTCCAATAAATATTTATCACGCATTTACCGAGGCAGATTAAACAGTAGATGGAACACCAGCCCTTCACTTGTCAAGAAGTAGGACTGCTGTCAGTTCACCAAGTTGTCTTCTATAAGCATACTGTGCCTCTTTTCCCCCTTCTGTACAAAACCAGAGATACTTTCCCCTCAGAAAATGGGATCACACTTGCTCTCCTCATTTGTCACTGTGTGAGAGGAGACGCCTGCATGGTTTTCCGCCTGCTGTGTGAAGCAGAGTCTGTAAGACATAACATAGCTTCTGTGGGACCTGCCCAAGGATGATGAACTCAGGGCCAGCGGCCCAAACCCCCCAGCCTCTCCCGAGGGGCTGCACCACCTGCTGCTGCAGCCAGACATCTCCCTCACACAAAGTTGCCTTCTCCCGCCACGCCGAGCTCTTCCTCAGGTCTCAGCTATGTCTTAGTTTGTGAGATTCTTGTGCCCATTTGAGAAACATGGTTTCTCTCTGCCTGGCGAGTGGGATGCTCATTAGCCATTTAGGGACCTTCGTGGTGTGATGAGTAAATCACGTGGCTGCAAACCAAAGGGTTGGCGGTTCGAACCCACCATCCATTTCAAGGGAGAACAATGAGGCAGTGTTTCTGCAAAGATTCACAGCCCTGGATATCCCGTGGGGCAGTTGTGCCAAAGGGTTGCTATGACAACCTGGGGACAGACTTGATGGCTGTGGTTTTTACTTTGGTATCACCGTGTCTGTTACTACTTTCAAGAACAAGAAGAATTATCTATGCTGATAAACACACCGCTCCTCAAGTCGGTTCTGACTCGTGGCACCTTTGCGTGTTTCTGAAGCTATCAATCCTCACAGGGGGAGACTGCCTGTAGTTTCCCCTTCCATTCTGTCTTTCTCTTTGCCAATGAGTCCGAACCACTTCACAGCTGACCCTCCACTGGACTGTAAGGCTTTAAATCACTTGAGAGTAGACTGACCCTCTTTCTCCTGAGGAACTTCTGATGAATGTGAACTGCTGGTGAGACACGCCCTTTGGATTGAGAACGATACTTTCCTGTTAAACAACTCTCTTCTAGAACTATCCACCATCAACTCAGAACCAAGTCAGAGCTGACCCTCCAGCAGATTTCTGGAGGCGATCAGTAGCACAAGGGGGAGACGGCCCATCAGGGAGCAGCTAGTGGACGTGAACTGTCAGAGAAGTGGCCCCTTTGACTTAGCAGTGCCACTCCAGACACACCAACACCAGCACAACTCCCCTCTAGCTCCACAGAAGGCTAAACACGAGCACTTCTATTGCTTGCAAGAATCCCCTTTCAACCTTGAACCCTGCTGCAGTAAAACAGCACCAGTCCCTCGCAGTCACTGCTCTGTCACTTCAGTAGGTATCTTGACTGGATCGACTCTTCTGCCCCGTCTAAGCCCCTGCAGACACACTGGAACCACTGGAGGAAAGGCCCACGTCTCCTCTGGGTGGCATGTGCCGTACTACTTGGTGGCTGCCCAGGTGGTACAAAGAGGTCATGCTCTTGGTGGCTGGAGGTTGGAATCTACCCAGAGCTTCTCAAAGGAAATGCCTGCTGATCGGGTTCCCCACAATGCGCCGCTGAGGATCCCCTGGGACTGAGTTCTGCTGTGACGCATGCAGAGCCGCCTAAGTGGTGCCCACTCAATGGCCACTGACTCCCTCCACCTGGCAGAGATCGTTCAAGGAAAAGCAACTCTCCGAGTAAGCGCTCTTGAAGAGAACTCACCGTTGTCGAGTTGGAACCTATTCACGGCTGGCCCTGCAAATCACATGGGAGAGGACTGCTGTGAGCCGCTGGTGGACTCGAACTCCGGAGAAGGGCAACCTTTTCCAGAGAAGGGCCACCCTGGGGTTAGCAGCACAACTCCCTGCAGCTCCAGCGCCCTCACAGAGCCTGTCCGAGCTCCTGACAGGCTGCTCCTGGACATGGAAGAGGAGCTTCTGCACAGTCAGGCTATCGCTGCATCTGACTGGCTCAATAATGTCTCCACCTGCACCCCATTTCACCTGAGCAGGATGGTGAACGGCTCTCCTACTGGAGGGTGTACTATGGGAACAGAAGGAAGTGCACCTCGAGTGTTCCTGAGAGGCAAGGCTGGTGAAACGTCTTCTCACCTACTCCGGGCATGGAACTGTCCTTGGGGACACCATGCGAGTCACCATGAGAGTCAGGGAATGAGATGAAGACCCTCAATGAGATGTACAATGCAATGACCATGATAGCTGAACTTGAGCCTGGCAGAGATTGTGAAGATGGTGCAGGACAAGGTCAGGTTCAGATCCTTTTTCACAGGACTGCTCTGAGTTCCCCAAATGGCACCTAACAGCAAAACTATGGGAACAGATCATAAACATTCAAACCATGGCCTAGATCACTTCCTTGAAGCCAGAAGTTGTTCTGAGAAAAAAAGTCAATATAACCTCTTATCTGGAAATATTCCTTTTGCCAGTATGTGGACTGCTGTTAAGATGCCCAAAGTAAAGGAATATTGGTTTTCTAAAGACTGACAGGTCATTAATAAGAATGCCTTTCCTAGGTTTCCAGTTGTACTGATTCCGAATACTGTGCTATTTACAGTTCCACCTGAAAGCAGGAGCTTTACAGTGATAAACCTCTATCCTGCCTTCTTTAACATCAGATAGATACAAAGCCAGCAGTTACTTGACTTTTTGGTGGAATGTTTAGTAACATGTTTGGACAGAAGAGCTTTCATGATGGGAAGAATCTTCTCCAAAGTTTAATACTCATTCAATCTGTGTATGCTCACATGACCTAGAAAGTCCCTGAGTAAAGATCCAAAGAAACAAATGGGTAAAGATCAAAAGGCTGCAAGAGAAACATCACAGATCTGTGAATAGACAGGATGGCTCTGTGACCTGAGGCGAGCCATTCACTCGTTCTAAGGTCCAGCTCTCCTGTGTCTAAAATAGGATATATATAAAATATAAAATAGGATAGCAGCATCTATTTCACAGGACTGCAAAAAACTTCAAGTGTCTGAATGCATTTAGAAGTGACTGAGGATATTCAATAAGCAAGAGGAACAGTAGCGATTACCATTTTTATTACTGGCAAAGCTTAGATGGAGGAGATGGCTCAGGGAGGTAACTGAGTATGAAGACATTGCAAAACTGCAAAAGAGCCTTCAATGCTGAGGCACAAAACACCTGACTCACCGCCATGGAGAAGCCGGGCCCAACCAACCCTGGAGTCATCCCAGACAAACAAAAGGAACCCACAGAGTGCCCTGAAGTAAATAATCCTCAAGGTAAGCTCAGGTGGCAAGAAAGGGCAGGAGAAAGGGAAATGGAAAGTGAGAGAGCAGAGACAAAGCGAAAAGAGAGCTGGTAAGTAGTGGAGGATTGTAAGTCAAAACAGACCAGAAATGCATAAACTGCTGAACAGAACCACAACCCACCAGCGAGTTAATTCCAAATTTGAGAAGGGTGGAGGGACAGTGCAAGAGAGGAAGACCCCTGATGAGATGGACTGATTCAGTGACTGGGGTAACGGGGGTAGGTGTGCCATGGGCAGTAAGATTGGCACAGGACAGAGCAGGGTTTAGGTCTGATGTACACAGGGTCGCTGTGAGTCACAGGCGACTTGATGGCACATAACCACCACCACCTTAATTCATAGTCCGCTGGTCAGAGATGATGACCTCTCCATCTCTGCGTAGCTATGCTGGTGAAGCAGAAGCTGGGGAGAAGTAAATGTTGAAGGCGTAAAGCGTAAGCGTCTCTTGTTTCACTGCTGGAAGCAGTGAGACAAGCTGGGCCAAGAGCTTGATATGTCCGGACACAGTTACAATTTTCATGTATAAAATTTATACCCCTTGTGGTATGGAGTTACACTACCAACCCAAAGGCACATGGTTCAAATCCACCAGCAGCCCTTGTAGGATGAAGATGAGCTGTCTCCTCTAGGGTGATTTACAGCCTCTGAAAGCCCACTGGAGGGTCAGCTAGGAGACGTTTCTGACTCAAGAGTCAATAACATTCTTAGTGTTACCAATAAAAACACTAAAGGAGGTTCTCTGCAAACCCCGCTCCGGGAGAGAAAAGTCATTCTCCCTAATTTCTACATAAAATGGGAAGATACTCACCGAAGGAAACCTGACCAAAGTTCAGGGCAGGCACATTAAAATGGAAGGTGGGTCCGACGACGCAGCCCCTGAAAGTAAAGCGACAAACTGGAGGAATGAGTGGGCAACTGAGTGAATCACGGGTCACAGCTTGGCATTAAATTGCTTCTATAACCCAGGACTTAAAGAATGGTGATGACAACACAGGGTTTTGGCAAAAGGTGCTGTGAACTTTATCTCCCAATGATGGACAGGGTGAAGGCAGAATAAACACCTCACCCAGCACAAAATGATGCTACCTTGGATGCTGCACTCAGCATAAAAACTTAGTAACTTGGACAACAAATGAAAATTACATGTCCCATCATATCACACACAGCAAAGCTTACAATAACACCAGTGCTTCCTGTGTCATGCTTTGGTAATATTAATGTGGTGGTGGTGGTGGTTGTTTGTGTGCGTGAATCCAGCCTCTGCTACCAACTAGGCAGTTCTTTTATCTTGGTCCATGTGTCCTCTTTGTGTATAAAAGGGACTTGACAAGGGCAGCTTTACAGACCTGTGCTCTGTTCTGAAACCTGCTTCTTACTCACTGTACAGTCTCAAGCTCCCAGAGTGATTCCTCATTTCATATAAAAGAGCTCTCATACAATTTCTAGCTGACTTCAGGTAGTCATGTAATCCCTGGAATATTCCTGGAAGTTGGGATTATAGTCAATTCACGACAAAGATGGATTCAGGTCACTGGTAGAATTACGAGTGCTAATTATGCGACTTTAAAATAAGGTGCGTGCCCGTGATGATCCACTTGTCGGTGCACTCAAATTGCCGGGGATTTGGGGCTAGCAGCTCTGTTCACTATGACGACCCCTCAGAGCTCCCTTCTGATTCTCCAGGTGGGACCAATGTGTCCCAACGGTCCCATAAGTGTAGAAGAGGAAGGCAGAGAGCAGGTCAGATGATGCTGAGTAAGGAGGATCTGACCCACGACTACCGGCTCTGAAGACAGAGAAAGGAAACCAAGAATCAAAAGACCATGGGGGGAGGGAGGCAATTACGCAAAAAAGGAATAATTTTTTTTTTAACCTGGGGGAAAGGGAGGAGAATGTGCAATAATGAATGAGTAAATGAAAATCCAACATTTTTATAAACTTTTGTTAAAATCACAATAAAAAATAAAAGACAAAATATCCTGTTGTGGTTTTTTTGTTTTGTTTTGTTTTGTTTTTTAAAAAGAACATGGTGAACCTCGCCAGAAAAATCACGGGCGTGGCTTCTCTCCTGGAGCCTCCAGAAGGAACACAATGCTGCCGGCACCTTGCTTTCAGGCCTATAGATTCGTGTTGGATTTCTGGCCTTCTGAACTCTAAAATTTAAAATATTATACAGTAAGTAGATATCGTTTGAAGCCACTAAATTTGCGATTTGTAATCTGTTACAGCAGCAACAGAAAACTTAACACATCAAGTAGTTGTTTAGCTTCATTTCTCTTTAGAGCAGTGATTCTTTTTCTCCATTTGTCAAATCTTTGAAACTATCTAGATCAGAGGTAAGAAACGAAACAAGCGCCCATCTGTGCGCCAAAGCTTTAACAGGTTATAGGCACAGAGATGCCAGGAAAAGACACTAAAAAGAAATCTCCTGATTCACAAAACCACAGGCGTTGGTGACGGGGGTGTATCCACACCAAACCAAACACACGGTTCCCTGATGATGCTTCCGGCTGCGACAGATCTGACCACCTTGTGGAGAGACGCTTCCCGAAGGCCTGAGGAGGAGTGATCAACGCAAAGGCACAATGCAGCAAGCTGCAATTCCAAAAGCCTTTCTGCAACCATCCATTCTATTCTGTGCTAATGACTGAGAGTGGTTTCAGGAGGAGTGGCTGTTTCGCAGCAAGGATCTGGAGTCCAGAGGAGGCCGAAGTCATGGTAGCGAACAGTTGAGACGCTTGGTCTGTTAAAAGAATCTTTTGGGGAAAGAGTAACAAATAGATCAAATGTGCCTGAAATGCATGGAAGTCTAAGGAGCAAAGGAAAGCAGCTCATGAAATTGCACAAAGCAGTCATTTCATCAGCGCAGAATAGAAAAGACCGGAGATGAATCACATTTGTTCAAAGGCACAATTTAACTGCGGGAATTAACCGTGGCTGCCTAACAACATCTGGACTGAGATGCCATCCATTTCATTTTAACGGAGAATCTGAACATTAGGGCAGGCACTGCTGAGGTTGTGTCAGCCATCAGCCTGGGGGTCAGTTACTGTTCTCATTTGAAGATTATGGGTTAAACTTACTGCACTAGTGCATGGTAAGGCTGCTTTCCTGTTGTTGCCATGTGCCTTCAAGTCCAGTATGACTCACAGCGATCCTATGAACAACAGATGTGAACCCTGTCCTATCCTGTGGCATCCTTATCATCTCCGACACACGGCAGCCAATTGCCACAGTCATCGTGTCAATCCATCTCACTGGAGGTCTCCCTCTCTTTCACTAAACCTCCACTTTTCCAAGTGTCATTTCTCTTTCTAAGAAATAGCTCTAACAATATGCCCAAAGTATTAGGGAGGAAGCAGCATTACCCTCTTCACCCCAAGGAGAACTGTGGCTACACTTGGCCCAGCATGTATCTGTTTGTCCTTTTGGCAGTCCATGAGATATACTCAGTTCTCTTCTCCAGCATCACAACTCAAAGGCATCGATTCTTCTGTCATCCGTATTCACTGTCCAGCTCTCAGCTGCCCCTAGCAAGTGACTGAAAACACCATGGCCTTTTCCCCCTCATTCTTTATTCCTCAAATGTACATCACTGCTCTACAGTACTTTAGAGAGCTACCCGAAAGCAGACTTGCCCAAAGCAATATATCTCCTTGTCTCCTGACTGCTAATACCAAGGGTGTTGATTATGGATTCAAGTAGGATGAAATAATTGACAGTTTCAATCCTTTCTCCCTCTAGCATGACATTGCCCACTGGCCCAGTGGTCAGGATTTTTGTTTTCTTGATGTTGAGACTTTTCAGTTGCATCCATTCTCGGAACGACCGTGCACCACCAGGATTCCTTAGGACAGCTCCCACTTGCTATTTAACGCAGGGCTAGGAACTGGTTTCATCATGGCCAATCTGAGGGATTAGTCAGAGGCATCAGAACAAGCAAAACTGACACCCTGGAAGACACAGAAGCCCTGCAAGCGAGCACTTTCAGGGCTTGATGCATAATATGGGTTATTGACAGGACGGTGGGGCTACATAAATTCACAGCTATGGAGTTAACCACTATCTTTAAAAGGAATGGAAAACTGCCATCTCTGAAGGCCTGCTCTCTTGTTAAATAAATGTACCCTCCCTTTAAAAAGACTGAGTCAACAATTATTCCAAATTAGTTCTTCATTGTAATCATTTTTACTTGCACATGTACAGCTTTTTTAATTTTTATTATTTTGTGTGTGTATACCATCAAATTGGATCTGACTGGTACAGGAGGACACTGTCCCCCCTTTTCCAGCATAGCATCTGGTGGATTAGAACTAGACACCTCTGGGATTGCAGTGCAGCTTCTTACCACTAGGCCACTAGAGCTCCCTACATGTACAGCTTTTAAATCACTCAAAAGCCTTCAAGCCTTTCCATACAGTAAGTTAAGGATAATTAAGAGCCAGGCACACTTGAGCTGATTGACCTACAAGTTCTCAAAGACCCACTTAGGAAGGGACCTCGTTCACCACCCAGGTGAAATGCCTGTGTGTCATTTAGGTTCAGTTAGCTGATTATCTCAAACCAAACCCACCACCACCAGGTCAATTCTGATTCCTGGCAGCCCTCCATCATGGAGGGTGAGAGGAGGGTTGAAGGTCACAAAACAGGAAAATATACTCCTCTGTTCTCTTACTGTGCACACTCTAGATGTCAGTCACAAATCAAGAGAGGCATATATCCAACTTCTTGAAGGAAAGCAATTCCTTCTTATTTTTACTATTATAATAGGCACAGAACATTATGGAAGAGGACAAAGATGTCACGTGAACCCTAAAGTCTTGAGACATGTAAAAACAAGTTCAAGATTGGAGGATGTTCCCTTGACCAAACCGTAACACCTTGAAGGTACATGCATTCACTCTCCTTAGTGGTTATGAACACTAGGGGGAAAGGTTTGAGAAGAAATAGTAATCATCTCTGAACTGATTGCAAGATCTTGCATTTCAAGTGGGTCTCATGAGACCAATAAAGGATCTAAATGTGTCTCCCTCTTTACTATACTATCTCCCAGATCCTTGGGAGACTTTAGATGTAGGTGGAGAGAGGTCTTGCCAGCAGTAGCCAGTAATAAAAAACTGCCATGGTAATTAACAACCTGTTGCTGTGGGAATCCAGAGTCAGAGCAATGTGTCCTGAGGACATGAGCCTTCCAAGTGTCAGGAGTCAAAATCACAGATCTTTTCAAAACCTGAAGACAGACTCTCATGGTAATGACTTGGCATTATCACAGCAGCTGGAGAAGCCATACAAAGATGTCAAGCACAAAAGTTACAAGTGCCGAGCGCTGGCCGCCTGGCCCTGTGAGCGCTGGCTGTGTGAGCGCTGGCCGCCTGGCCCTGTGA